GCTGGGTGCTGCCTGGGCTGTGACACACTGGGGGGTGAGGCCAAGTGATCAAGCAGGGCTGGGGAGCCTTTTCTGGGTTGGGGGCCGCTGAGCCACAGAAAAATCAGTTGGGGGCCACACGCAAGCGAAAAGCAAAATAACCCCAAGGACCCGTCGCTGAGGGGCTGTGCACCAGCCCTGCGGATGTCGGCAGAGGGCTGGAGCACCAGCGCGGGCTCCCCAATGGGGAGGGAGCCCTGAGCCTGGGGAGCCACATCCAGCCCCGGGGCCTGAGGTGCCCCACCCCGATCGACGTGCTCCCCCGAGAAGACACTGGGGTAGTCCTGGGAGTGGATTCCCCATAACGGGCCGTCCAAGCTCCTCCACTGTTGCACCTGAAAAGCCATGGGAGGGGGGCATGCTCGGTCGGCGCCTCCACAAGGGGCGTGGCTTCAGGTGGAAGGGGCGTGGCTTCAGGTGGAAGGGGTGGGGCAATTTAAAGGCCCCCGGAGCTCCAGCCACCACTGCTGTGATAGTAATTGGAGCAGCCCAGAGCGCTGGGCCCTTTTACACCACTGGGTCCCAGGGCATTAAGCCCTTCCCCTCGTCGGCGGCCCTGGTTGTGGGTGTTCCCTGTCTCACCACATATTTCGGTATCCCGCTGTGACGCAGTGGGGTCTGCTTTCACTCTTGTAGTCCCTGCAGTCGCTCTTTGCGGTGCTGTACGTGATTCTACAGCCCTGTGCTGTTCTCTAGTAACGCTGTGTGTGTGCCTCAGTTTCCCTGGGCACTGCCGCTCTCTCTGCATGAGGAGGGGACAGCTGGGCCCGACTCACTGGGGAAGTGTGTTCAGCCTCTATCCTCCTGAGGACCAGGTGACAACAGATCACACCTTGGGACAAAGGAGGAGGCAGGGCTGCTTAGAGGGCTGGGACCAGTGTGTGTGTGGGGGGGGGAGTTTCTGCTGGCTCGGGGAGACTAGCCGGCTTGGGGGCGGGGCAGAGCCCTGGCTCGGTGCCATATCCCCAAGATGGGTTGTTCTGGCTGCTCCTGGTTCCCTTAACAACAGATCTGTGCCACGCTGTGTCCCTGTGAGCCAATGACCCTTCTGTTCTACCTGCCAGCTGAGAATCCCCTCTGGCTGTGGGTGGGGCCCAGGGACTCCCCCACGCTCTGTGACACACACATGTAGCACAGCCAGTCCCCCGGGTACTCGTGGCAACAGCCAGGTAGGGTTACCAGGCGAGTTAAAAAAATACCGGATGGGGGACTGGACAGGAGGCAGGCGGGGCTGGCCAGGGCGAGGGGCGGGGCAGCCGGTGGGAAGCAGGGCTGGCGGGAGTGGGGGGCAGCGGGGCTGTCCGGGGGAGATCGAGCGAATCGGCTGGGGGGAGCGGGACTGACCCAGGCGGGTGCAGATCCCAGGGCGCTGCCCGTCCCGCACACGGTCCCGGCCAAGCACTAGGGAGTCCGGGTGCGGCTCCACAACACGCTGGAACAGCACTCAGGACCAGGGACAGGGCTTCCCCTCCAAGGCGTCACACGCAACCAGAGGCTCCCAGCGCCGATCGCGCACCGCACCCCACCACTCTCCCCGCCCCCGCCAGGCTTCCCTCGGGCGCCCAGTCAGAAAACCAGAAAATACCCGACACTGCACGCGTCCGATGTTTTCTGATTTTTTTTTACCAGACAGAGGGCCCAATAACCGGACTGTTGGGTTGAAGAGCAGACACCTGGCGACCCTACAGCCAGGCGGTTAGAATGACGCCGCTAAGGGTGGACTTTGCACAAAACGCAGCCTCCCTACCCCTCCATGGGAAGTGGGGGGGGTGGCTTTGGGGGGTGGAGTGTCACACAGCTTACAGCCCTGCCGCTGGGCCAGCACCTGGTCGCCTGTCGCGGGGATGACACAGCCGGCGAACAAGCCCAGGCCCTTGTGTGCCCACAGGCCTACGCAGGAAGGGGGTGAGGTACCAGGCTAGATGGGCCAATGGGGCAGAGTCAGGGTCACAAGGGGGGGTGGGATACCGGGTTAGATGGGCCTGTGAAGGGGCCCGTGGCTCTGTACCAGTGAGGGGGTGCAGGCAGGAGGCCAGGGCAGATGGGCCTGTGGGTGGAGCTTTCCCTGTGGCAGCTCTGAGGGCAAGCGCCCGGCCTGCGGGAAGAGCTGGGCAAGGGGAGGACTTCCAAGTGTCCAGCAGTGGCTCACCTGCTGGGGGCTCAGGGCAGGGCCGTGGGGAGGGAGGCGCAGCGCC